ATGACACTGCCTAGAATTCACATCAAATGAGAAGAGTTTCCATTTGTTTTGTCTTGATTTAGGGGGGGAGCAAAAGCAACCCCCATTTGAGAGGGATGGCTTGCGAGCATAGCCATTCTTAAGCATGAAAATATGGGAGGGTAATAAAGAAGCCTCTGTTGCCAAGGAAACAGTTTCAGTTTAAGCATCTTAATTCCAAGGATACCCTCTTTTCTTCCCATATCAATTTAAATTAAGAGAAAAACATGTTCACGCTCACATCTATTTGGCTATATATTGCTGACCAGAATTCCAGTAAACTTTCTCCACCAGACACCTTTAATTTGATTTATGAGAATTTGCTTTCACATATTATTTCAAAGAAGATATTTTTTTTTGCGGGGGGGGGGGGTCATAAATGTTTAAAGTTGGAAGGGGCCATTTTAAGACCACTGAATACACCAGACAACTCTGTACCAACTCTACTTGGTACAGGAAGCCAAATCAATATAATCTCAAATATAATCTATCAAACCTCCATTAAACACACCCAGTAAAACACACATCCACTTACCTGTGAGTAACCAAGCTGGTAGCTGACAGCTTGGAGAGGGAGTTGTGAGTTTAAAGACAGAATACTCCCACAAACCTTATGCTACTTCAGGTAGGTGCAACAATCATGCAATCTGTCAATCACAACCTGACCAATGCTTTCTTCTGCTGAAAATAACCCATAAAGTCAAGTAATTTCTTTTGCATCAAACAAGAGGGAAATGGTTATAAAAATATGCAAAAGGATATTTCACTATAGGGTGGATCAGTTGAATGTTGTAGTTAAGGATCCTTCGCATCCTGTGTAGATGAAGAGAACCTGTTGATTTTCTTTAGACCGTCTAAAGATGGAATAATTCAGATAATATATAGCAATGGCACTGAGACTTATATACCACTTCACAGTACTTTACAGCCCTCTCTAAGTGGCATATTGCCCCCAACAATCTGGGTCCTCATTTTACCTGCCTCAGAAGGATGGAAGGCTGATTCAACTTTGATCTGGTCAGGATCAAACTGCTGGCAGTGGGCAGAATTAACTATAGCAATAGCACTGAGACTTAGATACTGTTTTCCAGTGCTTTACAGCCCTCTTTAAGCAGTTTACAGAGTCAGCCTATTGCCCCCAATAGTCTGTGTCCTAATTTTACCCACCTCAGAAGGATGGAAGGCTGAATCCACCTTGAGCCTGGTGAGATTTGAACTGCCAAACTACAGGCAGCTGGCAGTCAGCAGAAGTAACCTGCAGTACTGCACTCTAACCACTGTGCCAGCAAGGCTTTTTTATGATATATATACATATTATATGATATATAAGTCATGCAGCTGAGAAGGGCAGTTCAAAGCTGGTTCTCCTGCCCCCGCAAATAAATGTTTAGAAATCATAAAGGTATAAGCATTACCTCTCCCTTACTAAAAAGTCATGCAACTTATTAAAGCCAACCTCTTTAACACATTCTTTGGCTCAGTATTTGTAAACAGCAATGGATCATTCCCAGTATTTCCTAGTCGAATCATGGACAACTACAAAGATCTAATACATATCGATTTTACAGAAGACAATGTTGAAAAAGCACTACGCAATCTAAAACAATCTCTATCTATTGGTCCAGATGGAATATGTGCCTACTTCTTAAAAAAGCTACTCACTGCCATAGCCAAAACTCTAAGCATAATCTTTGAAAAATCTTTCAGAACCAGCTCCTTGCCAAAACTATGGTCACAAGCCACGGTCATCCCCATCTTCAAAAAGGGAGACCCCAGCTTAGTGGAAAATTACAGACCAATCTCTTTATACTGCGTCACCTGTAAAGTCATGGAATCAATTATTAACCAATCCATCATCCTCCACTTAGAAACAAACAACCTACTCTCTAATAAACAATTTAGTTTTAGGAAAAAACTATCATGTAATCTGCAACTCTTACACTGCAAAAACATATGGACTACACAACTCAATCAGGGCAAAGCAATCGACGCAATCAACATAGACTTCTGTAATTCTATTCAGTGGTACATGACAAACTACTCCTAAAACTAAAATCTTATGATATCTCTGGACACCTGCATAACTGGATAGAAGCATTCCTGTCAAACAGACAACAAATGGTCAAAATTGGGAGCGTCCTATCAAATTCTGTACCTGTCAACAGTGGTGTCCCCCAAGGCAGTGTTCTAGGACCAACTCTTTTCATACTCTACATAAATGACCTCTGTGATCATATCAAGAGCAACTGTGTTCTCTTCACTGATTATGTAAAGTATTCAACACCACAGACAATACTGCTACCCTTCAAAAAGACCTTGACTATGTATCAGAATGGTCAAACAAATGACAACTTCAAATCTCAACAAATAAATGCTCTGTCCTACATATTGGCAAAAAAAAAATCAGAAAATAAAATACAGGCTGAATAGTCAAGACTTTGTTGATCCAAATTCTGTCAAGGACCTTGGAGTACTCATCTCAAATGACCTAAGTGCTAGAGCCCACTGTAACTACATAGCCAAAAAGGTGTTAAGAGTTGTTAACCTAAACTTATGTAGCTTTTTCTCTGGTAATATTACACTACTAACTGGAGCATACAAAACATTTGCTAGACCAATATTCAAATACAGCTCATCAGTCTGGAACCCACATTACGTATCTGATATTAACACAGTTGAGAAAGTCCAGAAATATTTCACAAGAAGAGTTCTCCACTCCTCTACTCGTTGCAGAATACTTATGCCACCAGACTCGAACTTCTAGACCTAGAAAACCTACAACTATGCCGCCTTCGGTTCGATCTAAGTATAGTATATAACATCATACATTGCAATGTCCTACCTGTCAATGAATACTTCAGCATCAACCATAACAACACAAGAGCAGACAATGCATACAAACTCAATGTTAATCGCACCAAACCTGATTGCGGGAAATGCAACTTCAGCAACAGAGTGGTCATTGTCTGGAATATTCTATCTGACTCTGTGCTTTCTTCCCCAATCCCCAAAAACTTTAATCTTGGACTGTCTACTATTGACCTCACCCCTTTCCTAAGAGGTCTGTAGGGCGGTCTGCATGCATAAGCGCACCAATGTGCCTACCGTCCCTGTCCTATTTTATTTTCTGTTTTTCTTATATGTATCCATGTATTCATAACTATGTTTTTACTTATACCTATTATCTTGTAAGCAATTGACAAATAAATAAAACAAACAAACACACAAACTCCTTGCCAACCACACAATGACTTTTAATGAATTGCTGGAAGACAGCTAAAACAGTGGAAAACTCCAGGGAACTGTAAGACAACTGGAAATTCCTCAACACACTACAGAAGTAATCTTCAAAGATTAGAATATTTTTGAGCAGCAAAGGTGAACAGGGAAAACATTACTTGCTGTAACCTGGAGAAGATTTATGAATATTAATTTGCTAAGCAAGGAAATACATTTCTATCTCTGCCTGCCCCTGTAGTTCCCTCCAAGACAATTGGAAGGCAAGTTCTCCTTGCTTAGATACTTCCATTCTAACTGGAGTTCTTCTTGCTTGTGTGAGTAATCCAGTGTGAAAGGGATTCTTAACTTTCTCCAACCTCTATGACTGAGTGGAGGCTGTCTTACTAAACTATTCCAATAGAGGATATAACCTCTATAACTCAGGCATGAACTCTGGAGTTTCTGGTGTTCTCTGAACTTGGTGATTTCTTGGATGTGTTTTATTACCTAGCTAATTAACATCATGGATGCTAGACTATCACTAATGATGTTACCTAGTTAGGTAATAAAACATTTGCAAGCAAATAACCAAGCTCAGAGAATGCTGGGAACTCCACAGTTCTTAAATCATTCTCTCTACATCTCGTACTTAAGCTGTGATGGATGCTGTTTAGGTAGTCAAAATGACATCACCCACCTGGAAGAGGAGAGATATCGGTTGATCTGGAAACTTCACAGAAGAAAAAACAATTATTTAGGAAGGAAACCTGTAAAAGGAGTAAAAAGAGTATTCTAAATCAACTTAATGGGAAGTGAGCATGCCACTTGATTGAGAAACTTGGTTGAGATTGTGTGCAGGTGTAAAAAATGCAGGAGAGAAAGTGTAACAGGACTCCTGAATGGGCTGCCCTCTTTCTAAAATATATTGAAGTTTCTGTATGTATGTATGTGTCTGCCCGTCTATTAGAAATGAGTGGACTACAGGTAGTCCTCAACTTATGATCACAATTGAGCTCAAGACTTCTGTTGCTAAACAACACAATTGTTAAATAAAGCACTGTAGTTATAACACGGTTGTTAAGTGAATCTGGCTTCCCCATTGACTGCTTGTCAGAAGGTCTCAAAAGTTGATCATGTGACCCTGGGACACTGCAACTGACACAAATACATGCCAGTTGCCAACCATCTGAATTTTGATCATGTGCAGGGATGCTACAATGGTTGTAAGTGTGAAAAGTGGTCATAAATCACTTTTTCTGTGCTGTTGTAGCTTTGAATGGTCACTAAATGAGCACTTATAAGTTGAGGGCTAGCTGCAAACTATGGAATCTATGCACCTTACAAGGAGTTACAATGGTGTTAACAGGTAGAATGCATTTTTTCCCAGATAGGGAATTTGCAAAAATCCACTTGTCTTTTCCAGAAAGCTTTTAGGAAATTAACCCACCATCACACAGTCCCCAAGAAAACTCAGTGTGACATTCACTGTATCAAGAATTCAATCTAGGACGGATGTGACTTTAAGATCAGCCACATGTTTTGCTGTTGCTTCTCCTTCTCTCTTTTTTTTTCCTGGCCTCTTAATTATTTTATCTGAGGAAGAATGATTGGTAATTGGAAAAATTTGCATACCTTGTGATAGTTCCCAGAAGACTGGCCTAGTTAGCTTGCTCTAGTAAATAATGATTCATACACACACACACACACACACACACACACACACACACACACATATATATATATATATATACACATACACATACATACACACACACACACACTGCTCAAAAAAATAAAGGGAAGACTTAAACAACACAATGTAACTCCAAGTCAATCACACTTCTGTGAAATCAAACATACAGTCACATGGAGGCCACACACACTACTGAGCCTCATTTTGACTTGTTTTAAGGACATTACATCAAAGTTGGATCAGCCTGTAGTGTTTTTCTACTTTAATTTTGAGTGTAACTCCAAATCCAGACCTCCATGGGTTGCTAAATTTGATTTCCACTGATAATTTTTGTGTGATTTTGTTGTCAGCACATTCAACTATGTAATGAACAAATTATTTAATAAGAATATTTCATTCATTCAGATCTAGGATGTCTTATTTTTGTGTTCCCTTTATTTTTTGAGCAGTGTATATATTTCCCAATGAAGTGTCTTGTGTATCTTAAAAACAAATAAGGAATGCTTCATTTGGCCAACTGCCATGCAAAGGTTTGCGTCTATGGTTTTTTTAAACAATGTTTATCATAGCTAAAATGGCTATTATTCTTTTATATGAAACATCCTGTATTCTTCTAACCATCAGCTTCTGATTATTATTAATCCTTATATTTAAAAAATGGTTTTATCTCAATTTTTGGATTAACTGTGTCTGGATGAACTCCAGCTGTACATTTTTCTTTATAGAGGAGTCAGGGGAAAATAATAAAAATAATCCAATAGCATTCACTGCCACTCCTGTCCAACGGTTAAGAATGAAGGCAATCCAGCTGTAGTTAATTGTACATGTGAACATCGTGTATTGCAATATGTCCAGCATCTCTTACATAAGCAAGGATTTCCAGTACAAGGTAGTCCAGAAATAAATTTTCTCCCCAAAACATGTTGATGCTGTAGAAATATGGGAAGTATAGAATACTGTAAGTCTTCAGGGTTTACAATTTACAACGTTCTGAGCCAGATTAGCTTTAAAACAATTTTTAGGGGGAAAAAAATGAAGCTTGTAATTGATGTTGATCTGCTTTGATTAAGTGTCCCTTGACGTAACCAGGTTGATGTTCTTTGGCTTCCTCCAGATTTGCCTGAAATCAGTGTCAGCCATGTGAACTTGACCGTCTGCGAAGGTGAAAATGCTGTGATCACATGCAATGGGTCCGGTTCTCCTTTGCCGGATGTTGACTGGATTGTGGTCAACTTGCACTCTATCAACACGCATCAGGTAGAAAGCTGTAGTTAAAGACCTCCTAGAAACATACAGAACTAACAGCAGAAAAAGACCTAGTAGTCCATCAAGTCTGCCCTTTAAGTTGATTTGTTTTCCTTCCTTCCTTCCTTCCTTCCTTCCTTCCTTCCTTCCTTCCTTCCTTCCTTCCTTCCTTCCTTCCTCCTTCCTTCCTTCCTCCCTCCCTCCCTCCCTCCCTCCCTCCCTCCCTCTCTGCCCTTCCATCTTCCCCTTGATACCCTCCCTCCCTTTACTTACTTCCTATATATATATTTGTTGTTTGATGGACATGTGTTTGATCCAAGCATCTTTAAATTCAGTTACTGATGTTTGACCGATATCTCCTCTGGAAGTTGGTTCCAAACTTCCACCTACGCTTTCTGTAAAACATGATTTTTGTACTTCCCTCCTAGCAGCCCCTCATGTTCTATATTTTTGCTTAATAGCAAAGCTCCCTTGCCTTTTTCCTCCCCAAAAGACTTTCAAACAATTATTCTGCCTATCTGGAGGATCATGGAGCAGATTTTTCTTTCTTTCATCATTTAATTTTAGGTAGCTTTGACTATTTATAAAAAAGTTTAATGTTGTGTTTTAAGGCAGTGTCCTCCAATCTGGGTGCTCTTCCGGTATATGTAATACACTGGTAGTTACCAACTTAGAGCCACAATCAAGTTCAAAATCTCTGTGGCTAAACGAGACATTTGTTAAATGAATTTTGCCCCATTTAATGACCTTTTTTTGCCGCAGTTGCTAAGTGAATCATAGTAGCTGTTAAAATAGCAACATGGTTGTTAAGTGAACCTGGCTTCCCCATTGACTTTGCTTGTCAGGAGGTCGCCAAGGAGGATCGATCACATGACCCCGGGAACACTGCAACCATCATAAATATGAGTCAGTTGCCAAAGGTCTGAATTTTGATCGTGTGACCGTGGGGGATGCTGCAAGGGTCATAAGTGTGGGGAAATGGTCCTAAATCCCTTTTTTCAGTGCTGTTGTAACTTTGGTCACTAAATGAACCGTTGTAAGTCGAACCTCATCTATTTGGGCAAGTCTATTCTGGGGCATTCAGTCATTGTGGGATCTGTTGTTTTTATTTATGTTAACTATCTTTCTGGTGGTGATTTTCAGACAAATGCCAACTGGACCAATGTCCATTCCATCAATTTAACCCTGGTGAATGTAACCAGTGAAGACAATGGGTTCCTGCTTACATGCATCGCTGAGAATGTGGTAGGAATGTCTAATGCCAGCGTACTTCTCACTGTATACTGTAAGTCAATGGGGGGAAAAGAAGAGAGGGGTTGAAAGATGGGAAATCCATTTATGGGAGATTTTTGTGTACTTTTCCTGAGTAAGAACTTAGCTGGAGAAATTTTCTTTAGGGGAAAAAAATATGATGTGGAATTCTGTAATGAGACCTGGGATATTTCTTTGCAAGTATGTTGAGATCTTTATTCCAGGATTTATTAGGATGAAAAAAATGGAAGAGTAATGTTAGTATTGACTATGGCCACTGCTTCTTTCAGCTGACAACGTAGAGTATGGTGGCCCTTGGATGTTGTGGACCTACAATTCCCAGCATCTGTAGTTAATCAAGCACTAAGGATACTTCCACCTGGGACTTCTGAGAGTTGTAGTTTAAGAAACATCTGGACAGCCTCAGATTCTTCATCCTAATGTAGACTTGATACAACTTCGCTAGGCATATTAATGAAATTCCCAAAACAGCTATCAGACTGAAAAAGTGTTGCTCACTTCTAATAGTAATGGCCTGCTGATTTTGGCAGCAAGTAAAAATTAAAAAGACGCATTAAGTTGCCAGTAGACTTCAAATGCACAAAGCAGCTTCACTTTTCCTTCAATTTTTTTTTGTAAATTTTATTTGAGTTTTCACAAAGAGAAAAAAAAATACAAATAAAATATCTTTTTTGAAAGTAGCGTAATCCTGGGTTACATTTCTTCATACAGACACAAATTCAGGTTCATGCTCATTTTTATATTCTATTCCATATCTTATTACTATTTTACATTTTCTGCATAGCTTCTCCCCTCTTTTAATTTTCTCAATTTTATTTTAATTATCTCATCTCAATTCAAATCATTGTATTTATATTTTTTGTCTGTCCTGTTTCAATTATCTATTATCTTTTCTCATTAAACAACATTTCTCCTGTAGTTACTGATTGGAGTATGACGCCTTTATATCTTTTCCCTAAAGTTGTAACATTCAATATAATACACACTATATTCTTAAAAAAAGAAAAAAATATAAATGTATATAATTAAAACAACATTCCATTCCAATTCAATTCTATCATAATATTAATATTCATTAAAGTCTTAACATCTTTAACATTACTTTTCAATTAAATATCATACTTCTATGGGAACAATTATAAGCTTTCCATAGTTAATTCCCCCCCTTCACTTATATTTTATAAAACATTAACTAATTAAAATGTTCCCGTTCCTTCCTAATTCAATTTTCTCATTTATTTTATTTCACTTATTTTATTCACAAACATTTCACTAAATTACACTAACTATTTTACCCCTCATTTTAATCATACGTTGTTTCCAATTTTCTAAAGTTATTTCTATTACTAATATAACAATACAATCTTACGTACCATTACAGAATCCCTTTTTCAGTTAGATTTTCACCCATTATCTCTAAATAGGTCCTGTTTCTCTATATCTTGCTCCGGTCCTTTATAACTTCTTTTCCTTTCCTTCTTCCCTCTCTTCTTCTCTCTCCCCTTTTTAACCCCTTGTCTCTCTACCTCTATTTCTCTCTTCTGTATTCCCCTTTTCTGTTGCTTTCCAGTATTATACTTATTTTTTGAATTATTTTGCTTTTCTTTGGTTGTTTTTTTAAGTCTTAAATATTCCATTCTCTTTCCCCCCTTTCTTTTTTCTTCCCCACATAAAATTGCTTGTTCATTAAAGATGGTTTCTTCTTTGTCCCAGTCTTCTTGTTTTGCAGTCGTTTCTTGCTGTTTCTCATAGTTCCAAATCTCCATTTCTAAGAATTGAAAAACAAAGCCAAAAGAACCCTTCCCTTCTTGTGCATCTTCTTTGTACTTTTTAAGTTCCATTTTCAATTCATCCAGAAGTGGTGCCATTGTATAAATTTTTAAACAACCACCCGCTTGATTTTAGTCATTCCAATATAATAACCAAGAATCCAAAGATCACCAAATAATCCACATACACGCAAGCTGTTTCTTTTTTGCTCTTTTTTTTTTTCACTTTCTCTTCCTGGGGTTACTATTTAGTCGCAAAGTTTCAGTTAAAATGTTTGTTTTAGAAGTCTTGTTGAAGTTTTACTGTAGATTCTTTTTAATTCCAGGCAGTCTCCTCCCTCTTCCAGATCCTGCCCTTATTCTTTTTCTCTCCCTTCCTGCTTATGAAAAAGAAAATTTTTAATGTCCAGAAATCTTTATTATCCCTTTGGCATTTTGTTTTATTTTCAGCTTAATTGCCTATTGATGTCAAAGCAGATTTTTCCAATTTCTTATTTAAGTCTCTTAGTTGTCAGTATAGGGAAGGAGAGAGAAGGAAAAAAAAGCCAAACCTTTCCCTTTTCTCTTTCCTTCGCTGCTTCCGACTCTCCTTTATTTTTTGTAAGTTTAAATTCCAGGGTACCTTAGTTGTTGCTTTTGCTGTTTGACCCGGTCAACCAAAACTTTCTCTCCTTATCTTCCTCCTGCACATTCTTTTCCAGTCGAGTTCTTCTTTGTGGTGGCCATTTCTGACCACCACTGCAACTGCCTTCAGGAAAGGGAGTAATGGCCAGCTGAGGAGAAGAGATGTGGCTCTCCTCAACCCTGCTTGTGGTCTCCCCCCTCTTCACCACCTCTACGAGGTGGCTTAGCTCCGAAACCAGCCCGGGTCGGGGCACTCCAGCAGCAAGCTCAGACAGAAACCGTGCACGATTGCGGATTTCTGTCTGTCGCCGAAGCCCTTCAAACTGGAAGTCCGGCTTCACTTTTCCTTCTTGAAGCTTCTCTTGTGGCATGCTAATTTGTCCACTGTGGCTTTCACTCTGAGGATTTGACAGTGAAGAGACTTATATTCTGTTGAATGAATGCTCTGACATTTGAGCAAGATGAGTCACATCCTTGCCAATCCATACTAATATGCATGTACTTAACTTGCCCTTCTGGATCATGTGAGTGGTAGAAAATGGCTTATCTCTATAGAAGGCCCACAGAATCCTGTATGGCCTGTTTTTATACACTGTAGTATAAATGTAGATTCCTACACCTGTATAGTAAGAAAGCAATAAATAAATAGAACCATGGTGGTGCAGTGGTTAGCGTGCAGTACTGCAGGCTACTTCTGCTGACTGCCAGCTGCCTACAATTTGACAGTTCAAATCTCACCAGAATCAAGGTTGACTCAGGCTTCCATCCTTCCAAGGTGGGTAAAATGAGGACCCAGATAGTTGGGGGCAATATAGTGACTCTGTAAACTGCTTAGAGAAGGCTGTAAAGCATTGTAAAGTGGTATATAAGTCTTAAGTTCACTGCACCTCGGTGGTGCAGTGGTTAGAGTGCAGTACTGCGGGCTACTTCTGCTGACTGCTGACTGCCTACAATTTGGCAGTTGAATCTCACCAGACTCAAGGTTGACTCAGCCTTCCATTCTTCCGAGATGGGTAAAATGAGGACTCAAATAGTTGGAGACAATATACTTACTCTGTAAACCACTTAGAGAGGGCTGTAAAGCACTGTGAGGTGGTATATAAATCTAAGTGCTATTGCTAATTGCTAAATGAAATATTGAGAAGGATCTGAATGGTCCACAATATTGATAGTCATATGAAATGATTTAATGTTGTATTACATATACTCCCTCGGCTACATACACCAAGCTCAACTGAAATATTTCAGAGATGGGCTTTCTTGTTGTGACTGGGCCATGGTTTCTTTACATCTACATTGTTTACATTTACATAGGCTGCTAAAAACAGGAGAGTGTTGGCAATTTTTCCATGATTTTAAAATACAATATTTTTTTTTCTTATTTCTGTACAAATCCTGCAAAAGAGAGGTGAGGGAACTTCTGTGTTTGGCCACTTAATTTTGGTAGTCGAGCCCTGGAAGAATATATGTAACATTTAGGCCATGGCTTGCCCACCCTGCAGTATATCACCATACTATAATTTAAAGAGTTTGAAGCCTTTGACTCCAGTTTATTTTCTTCATTTTCTGTTGCATTACTCATAAAAAAATCAAGCAAGTTTTATGACATATGTAGATCACAGTTTTCCCAGCCTATATTATCAGAAGCTGAACAGTTTGACATTCAGGGAAATTTAGATTCAAAGCACTCCTAACTTTGTGCTTCATATGCCTGTCCTTCCTTCCTTCCTTCCTTCCTTCCTTCCTTCCTTCCTTCCTTCCTTCCTTCCTTCCTTC